ACTTCTGGCAAGTCATGCTCATGGTATGAGCTGAGCCTGAAGCATGCCAGGAACAAACTGTGCAAAGTCCTTTGTGACCTGAACAGAGGCTGAGACTTCAGTGGAGAAAACAAGAGCTGATACCTGAGCTCAGATACACTTCACAGTGCCTCAACTTCATTAGGGCACTGCTGCTAAGCTGTGCTCCTGCCATTTGGTGGGATCTGGCTGCTGCAGCTCATCTGTGGGGAGCCATCAAGAAACATGAGATTCTTTGAGGTGATACTATTTTTTCCTTTGATCTCTTGGGCCTTCATGATCTAATGGTAGTTTGAACTGCAGAGTGGAGGAATCAGCCAAAAAAGTGCCTTTGCCAGGAAACTCTGAACATCAGATACCTTTCTAATAAGAAATTCAACTCTTTTCTGCTCATACAACTTGAGAAATTGTGTGACCTCAAACTGGATTAGTCCCACAAATACCTCTCATTTGAGGAGGGAGAAGTTCCACTGCAATAAGCACTGTTGGCAAATACCAGCTGACACTTGAGTTTCAGGCTTCCTCGTGTGATAATGGATGATGTTTGTAAAAAATACTGTTGCAGTCCTTTACCTTTCCCAAAAAGTTCTAGTACAAAATAAAATATATTATTTTGAGAAGCATGGGTATATCTTTTTTTATGTTTTATTTCATGTCCTTCATTATGTCTTCAGCATGGGTACTGAAAAAGTACTTGCAGGGTATACCTGGGCAGAGCTTGTTCTAGTTGCAAGAGATGTACTTAGAGAGGAAAAACAGCTCTTGGCCTTATTTCACTCCAGGTAAATATTGTTTTTCATTTGCATTTGCAGAGACTTCTTTTAAAATTAGCTAATAGTTGCATTTGATTCTGTCATCATGTGCGCTTTGGTAGTGTGATTCACCTGAATATCTGAGAAGGAATGCATGTTGAGTGATGTACTTGCATAGGGTTTCTAGAAATTACTGGTACTTTTCTGTACTGTTGAAATGTACAGATGGTTCTGGCAAGTTCTGACAAGCTCCTGCTATGACTAAGAGTAGGGCTACATTTATTGTTCTTTTTATTAATCTCTTTAACAATATAAGAGATTTGAAGGGATTTTTTTTTTCTTTTTCTGATCAAAAATAGTCTGATGTAAATATCTGCATACATCAGACTGATCCAAGACAAATTTTCTGTGGCATCAGTTTTTGTCTTTTGTTGAAGGTTTGCAGCTTTTTCAGAAATCTAAATTTCTGATTTTGAGCACGCCTGTAGAAGCTGCCTTGACTTTCCCTTCCATTTTATGTTTAGCATGTATTACAGGCAGGAGAGATAAATGTTCATTTTTATGAATGTTTTGTGGTCCCTTTTAAAACACCCTCTGAAAGTACAATTCCTGGAAAACTGCAGTTTCCCCTGTTCAGAATCTGTGTTTTTTTCATTTATGTGATTCTGCTGACTGTAAACATAGGTCTTAGTTTTATTCCTTTTTTTCCCTGATTTCATGCTGCATACATGAAGGAATAGATGTGTCTGTTCTGTCTTTTTTTCTGATGTCTGATGCACAACTTGGTTTGTTTTTATTTATAGTGAGATATCAACACAACATCCCAACAATACGTGCATATGTGTTATATTGGCCTCTCTGTAGCTGAGGTATGAAAGTTTAATCATGAAATTATTTATATACTTAACCTCAGGGTCCTGAGCAAACATACAGTCTTGATGGATATTACTAGAAAACATTAAAATGAGTCCTCTTCCCAGCATATGTTCCTGTTGAACAAAACCTTGTCATTGTTGTTGGGGTTTTTTTCTCCCCCTACTGACTATTGCTATTTCTAAGAATATGCAGACCATTCACTAGTTAAACAGCCTAGCTTTTTAAAGTATACCAATTTCACTTGAGGACTGGAATCATGACTGCTCCATATGATCTAATTAAGAGTTTGCTGACTTGGAAGACAATATTTGCCACATAATTTGTTATTTGTCTTATGGTAACCTTGAAGTTAGTGGGGTTGTGTTGGTAGCTGTAGCATCAAGGACAAAGCAGTCACGGTACTACACTGTTCTTTTGATATGATGATAAACTGCATTAGTCATAAATGCTGATACTTAGAAAATAGTATTTATTCCCAAGCCTCTCAGTTGCTCTTAAGTATTTACTTTTTGGGTATTATTGGCTTCAAGGAGCATTAACAAAATGATGATTATATGTTGGTTTAAAGGCTATGAATGTTTATTACTTCAGGCGAAAGACTTTGATTTATTCTTGAAATCACTGGTAATAATTTGGAGCATCACACTTAAACATATGCTCGAACTGATGCTTCTCTTGGTAGCTCAGAGGTGGAATTTTTCTGTAGTTATGCATTTCTGGGGGTCTTGAGTGTGGACTACTTGCAAGGCTCCACCCATACCTTATGTGTGCACACAACAGACAGATATAATGCTTAACCTTTTTTTCTTTATTGAAGCTAGGTTGTAATATGAATTGGCACAAATGTTTTGAATTCCGGCTATTATGCAAAGAACAGAGCAATATGAATATCTTAAACAGTGCTTGACTTCTGTTCTTAGCACCTGCTGGCTGCCTCCATTGGTCTACTATTGTGAGTGTTGAATAAAAGGGAAAAAAAGCTCTATGTTTTTAGATCTATTTTACAGCTGAATGACATATTTCTGAACAGATTAAAGGAAAAAAAAGTGAGTGAGGAAACAGCATGGATTTACCAAGAGTAAAGCATATGACCAATCTTTTGTGGTAAAAGGACTAGGCCTGTGGACAAGGGAGTAGTGGAGGGTATAATTTTCCTTGTCTTTAGCAACATTTCTGATGTGGTCTCCTGCAATACTGATGTGCTCATCTTAGGGGCAGGTGCTTAAATAGATGCAGAAATAAAATCTGATTGGATGGTCAGGCCTAGGAGCAATGTCTAGATAGGGCTGTACTCTGCCTAAGCTGACTCTGAGTGGAGTAATACCCCTGAATTTTCCTGTGATTCCTATGACTTTTTGCAATGGAATCAAGGTCTACATGAAATACGGCTTTCCTGTAGAATATTTTAGAAAATGCTTTTGTTAATTTAGGAGCTTGACATATTTTGTTTTAAGATTCAGGAAGAGTTATTTAATTTCTCCAAAGAAGTTAATAAATGCACATTTCAAATTCAGGAAGACTGAAGTTTAGTGTATTGATAAGTACAAACAACAAAAAAGTGAATTTAATATTGCCAGTAATTCAGTAAGATGTGCATTATAATTCAGTCAGGTTCTTCCACAATATTCATCATCCCACTGCAAGCTGTACTTAAAGACATGAGCTCAGAAAGAATTTCCAAGGTTACCCAATTTCGTATGAGTTTAGAAGTTGACAATTGCTCTTGTGAATTTTTATGCATCTATCCCATTTTGCAAACTATTCCTTGCTGTTAGGGTTAGATTTTTTTAGATTTTTGGTGGAGTGTCTCAACCAAGATCCTGCACTGTCTTGGTTAATGCACCTACCTTGCCACAGATCTAGGCTGTCACACTTTTACATCAATCCTCTTGCATATTACACTAGAGAAAATTAGAGGCATTTCAGTGAATTGGATGTGAAATAAGTCAGAAAGCTGCCATTTTTCATAGAAAGCTCCAAATATGCCTTTTTAGGTGCTGGCAGTCTCATTCTTGAAAAATCTGTGTCAAAATTCATAGAATGACCTGGGTTGGAAGGAAACTTAAGAATCAACTTGTCACCTGCAATGGGTAGGGATACTTTTCACTAAGCTGGTTACTCAGGGCCACATCCAACCTGGCCTTGAGCACTGCCAGGGAATCACATCCAGATCCACACCACATCCAGAACTTCTCTGGCTAGACTGTTTCAATGCCTCACCACCCTCACAGTAAAGAATTTTTTCCTGATATCTAATTTAAAACTCCCCTCTTTCAGTTTGAAACTGTTCCTCTCATCTTAAATACCACAATATGGTCACCCCAAGCCTTCCCTTTTCCAGATGTCCAATGTGTTAAAATTGCAAATTTAGGGACAGTACAATGACAAAAGCTTTAACCCCAGCATCCTCTTGCAGCTTCTTTCAGAATCATCAACATTTGCTGTCTTAGCAATAGACTTGCTGCTAGCTATCCCTGCCTGCAGTGGCCTGGTCTATTAGCCTAGCTAAGGTTCTGATGGCTAAATCTGAGTTTACTCTCGATAATGAGCACATTTTTGGGACATTGGTAATTATCCAGTATGAGCTAATTTGATCTTAAGGGCATGAGAGCAGTAAAGATGGTATTCATGAGGAAGATATAATTCAGCTGCTCATAGCTGCTTTCTGTCTCTATGGGTGATAACACTAGTCTTATGTGGCAATATTAGCTAGGAAATTTCCTATAAGCCTTAATCCTGTTCTGAATATATATACAAGGGTGTTCTGCCCCCAGAATTTCTGCATGTCTGTTCTGGGTTAGAAATTCTACCTCTCTCATGGGAAGATGCTTGCTTCTTTCTCAATAACAGTTTTATTTTGGCTCCAGCTTTCTGTCTGCCCATGCACCCCAGAAGGTGCTGTACAGTACAGAAATGGTAATGTCTTACTACAAACAGACCCTGAGTTGTTAGGGGAAATAGCACTAAAATATCTTAATATTGAAAGAGTTGATTGTCTTTCTTAGCCACTGCAATACCATTTCTGTAAAATATTGACAGTCTGTAGCACCAACTTAAAAATTTAGAAAGAGTTATTTTGTTTTGTTTTTGATTTGCTCGCTGCATAAATCAAAAATTTGGTTCGTTCACTGCCTTTAAGGAAGTATAACAAGTAATGATGGTCCTATTGTTATAAATTTTCTGAATGCTGCTGAATAGAAGGAGAGAAACTCAATATGCAATCTATGAAAACACAAAATGATAAAAGCAGCTATTTGACTCTGTAAATTGTTCCCAGTTATTCCTAGCACTGGGGGCTTATTCCTGGGTTGTATTTCACCTTTAAATGTGTGACTGCTGTTTTTCTTGACACAGATCTGCCCACTGTTATCTGAGGACCGATAGGGTCCCTTTTGGATTTTAGTGAGTGCATGATGCTCTGGTAGCTGAATTTTACACGGCTTCCTGTGATGAGCATTACAGGCTCCTGTGAGAAGAGACTTGAGCAGCTGAAGCTTGGCAAGCCCCAGTGGATCCTGTTAGAGATCAGAGGAGAAACCCACAAGCAAGGACATGGAGTAAACAACAGTACATCTGTCAGCAGGCAGCTGATCAAATCTGTACTCTCAGTACAGTTGGGCATGAAAGAAAATGCTCAAATTGCTCTTTTACCTACCTTGTGCCTTGCAGCCTCCTGTAAAAGAATGACCATACTGTTGGATTTAGGCTGCCTTGTTAATGAGAGATCATGCGATGAGTGAATTCAAGTTATGAGTGAGTGTGTGCTATGGATATTGGCACATTGGATTGCAAAGACTGTCTTCTTTGGCAGTCTCTGGAAGAAATGGGACCAGTGCTCTCCTCTTTCAGCTGGGTTTTCTGTAGTAGAATGAAGCCAAAGACAAGAAATAGAATTGTTCAATGAGAAGTACAGTAAAAGAGCTCAGTTTTCGCTAATAGGACATTGAATTTTTATTTGTTTTTAAAGAAAAGTATATTGTTCTGAGAAGAATGAAAAATGGCTGATCAATATTTATTTTCTGAACTAGTCTCACCATTTTTTTGTTTAAGATATTGGAATTATGTCTGCTTCTTTAATTCTGAGTGGTGAAAATAGGAAAAGAGACCTGAGAGATTTCATGCTTATATAATTCCTATAATTTTTTTTCCAGTAATATTTAGTCAATGACCAGATAGTAACTTAACAAAACTTAAGAACTGGCATTTCATTCTAGGCATTGCATTTTGTGCAAATGTAAAATCTTTTTGATGATTTCTTTATAGTCTAAACTGGAAGTGCTCCAAAGGGAACACAACAAAATGTGGGAAACAAGTAACGGGTCCTGCTGGTCCTCATGCCATCTGGAGGGAAGGGAGCAGAGATCCTGGCACATGGGTGCCCCTTGGTAGGCTACACTGCTCAAAGAGGGTAGGATGCTGCTCAGTTGCACTTCTGCAGCCAAAAGCTCTTTTTTCTTCTGCTGAGCAGAGCAGATATCAAGTGCATGCTAATTTGGTGCTTGATACACAGGTTAATTGTTCCAGGGCTGGTTTTACCCTTTGTAAACTGGGAAGCTTATAAGATGGAACCTTATTTCTGGTGGAAGTTGCATTTCCTTCTGACATTAGTCTTGGGTCTGAACTGCTTGACAAAAAAGATTTCTTTCAACCTCAGCTGAGTGCAGAGTATCCCAAGCTGAATGTACATTATGGGTTTGTTCAGAGCAGCAGTGCTGAAGCAAGTCTGCTAAACCTGTTTGCTTGCAAGGAATTGGCTTGATTCAGTGTTACTCTGGAACACATGGATTATATCTCTGATGGATAGCAGACTTTGGAGGCCAAGCAAATGATGTTATGAAATTGATATAGCCACACAGAGGTTCGACAAAGCAAGACCCCAACACCAATTGTCTTCTGTGTGAATACTGAAGCACAGCTCAAGAGCTGCCTGCCTGTGCCACGCAGGGAAGAGCATTCCACTGTGGCTTCAGAGCACTTCAGTGGTGAAAGTGCTAGCTGCTGCATAAATATGTGTATGCAAAACTTTCATCACAGAACAGATGGGTGAATGACACTGTTTATGTCTTCCTGTTTAGTATCTGTGTATTAAATTACTTTACAGATGATCTAGTCCTTTAGCAAGAATCCCTAAGGGTGTTGAAGGATCAGAAAGATGAGGGAGAGCATTGCAGAGATGTGCAGTGGGCTGTAGATAGAAATGGCACAAAGACTCAGTACCACCCTCCTCCTCCTGGCCCCAGCAGGTTTTTGGCTGTTCACTTTGGTGGATGTTCAAAAAATCCCACTTTGGCTTGACTGTTCTTAGTGTAGCTAAGTAGGTTTAGTAACTTGTGCTTTTCACTGTCTGAGGAAACTTATTTACTTCTGGGAGAGTGTTTGGGTTCATGTGGTGCCACAGTTCAGCCATCAAGAACTGGAGGTACAAACTAATTCCACATAGGGAAGTGCTTAAATCTGAAGTGTGGCTAATCTACAGTCTGGCTAACCTGTTACGGAGAGCAGCAGTCATCAGAGATGAGTTTTGATGTGGCTCTTTGTGTCTTTCTGGATCTTCAGAACATGCTGAGTTTAGTTCAGCTACTCTTGCTGATGTAACATGCTGGGTTAGGAAAACTTTTTTAAAAAAAATATTGAAACCTCAATCTCTGTGAGTGAAACTTGCTGAGATAAGTAAGAAGTGTTGTAGTTAAAGCTGTAAACAAGATTATATTGCTTTTACTCCCAAGTATTAATTCCTAACAAATTTCTACAGAGACTAATGTCCTATAGGATACTATACATGAGATCTAAAAGTAATGACAATGAAGAAATCAGTGAATTTTTCTGTAATGGGAAAATGAGGCTATAAAGATGTTTTTGAGTTGCATTTGCACAGCTTCTACCTTTAAACAGAGGCATCTTGTGCAAGAGTTTGAATGCAGTGTGTGGTCCTGTAGGGAGTGTGTGGATGTGACCTCAGTCCTAACTTCTTATGCACAGGCAAATAAAATACTTACAGTAACTATTTTTTTTTTCTTAACATAATCTACATATTGAGGTCTTGGGTTTGGCCTTCCTTGTTCATGATGGAGATCTTTTGTTTGAGGTTTTGATCTTCTATGCCTACTGCTTTTCTCAGTTTAATCAGGAGCAGCAACAGCTATGCACTACCTTCTTGAGATGCCATGAAATCAAGATGGACAAGGAAATCTAAATTTCCTGAACAATGCTTTTCTGCAATCTACCTTTAAAAGACCTGGCCATGCAGCTCACTTTTTCATATGTTTGATGACATCCAGGAAAGAAGGGTAGAGCCTGGGAGTTACCCTAATTTCAAAATGGGTACCTGCCTCCTAGGAAAGAAAAAAACTATAGCTGGCATTAACTGAGATTTCATTTTGGAAGTTTCTATGGAGAAAGTGCAAAGAACCACAAGAGATGAAATGCTGGTGGATCAGTGTGATGCAGTTAGTGTCACTCCTGTCTATGCTTTACTCTACAGCAGTGTGAATAAAGGTTTGCTGAGTTTTTAAAGGAATTCTGCCAGCATCTAATTAAAAAGCTTGTTGCTGATACTGTTGATGTGGGCAAGGATTTGACTGGCCATGTGTCCCCCTGACAAATAAAAGACAACTTCCTCTCTCTAAGACTTTCTACACACCTGTAAGATAGCTACAAAGCAGGACTGAAGCTTTGTTGTTCATGTTTCTTTTATTAATTAAAAAGTTCTATCCAAATAACATCACACTGATATTCGCAGGTTTCAGGTGGGCATATAGAAAACAATCTTTTGGCACACACATAATAATCAGTTTGCAAAACTGTTGTAGTGAGTGTAGTGAGTGCAGAAAGCTGCCAGACTGTCAATTTTGTTAAAGAACCTTAATATTTTGATGCAAGTTCACTGTGTCCAAACAGAGATCCGGTAGATCAACAGCCAGAATAAGCCTAGAGATGAATTTGCTTACCATGAGTGCCCCTGTCCAGAGAGCTTTTAGGAAAAAGACAGTCTATAAGTAGCAAGGATTTCAAATTGCATGGGATTTATGAGCTAAAGCCCATGTGTTGACTTATGCTTGAAAACAAGCTGATAGCTACTGTATTTTAAACCATGTTTTTTTTCTCTGCAAAGGGCTGTGCAATGCTGACATTGCACATCCTGAAAAAATTAGCTGTAACTGTACTAATTGAGATCTTGTACTGTGAGGGAACACAGTAAAGGAATATAATCCCATAAATTGTGCCCCACAATTTAAAAAGGGTGTTAAGCTATTAGAATAATTCTAGGGAAGGACAGCAATGCTGGTGAAGGAGCTGGAAGGAATGTCTTCTGAGGAGTAGTTTAGGACACTGGGTTTGTCTAGTTTGGAAGGAAAAGGGTTAAGAAGCCACCTCACTGCTCTCTACAGCTTCTTGAGAAGAAATGGAGAAGGGACTGTTGGCTCATCTCTTCATCTGGCTTGAAGCTGTGTCTGTCAGGGGAAGTTTAGACTTAACATGAGGAAACACTTCTTCACCAAGAGGGTGGGTGGTCAAATCCTGGAACAGGCTACTTGGAGATGTGGTTGATGGTCCATGCCAGTCAGCATTTTAAGAGGCATTTAGACAATGCCATTAATACCATGCTTTGAGTTGTGGTAGGCCCCAAAACTGTGAGTCAGACTAGATGATCATCGAAGCTCCCTTCAAGAGGAATCATTCTATTCTGTTCTTCTTCCCCTTTTCCTAGAAGTACATTCAGAGGAAATCTCTGATGATATTTCTTCACTGCCCTGAAATAACAGAAGACATTGAATGGCTAATCATGTCCCATTCTACAAAAAGATTCTCTCAGTTTGTGGGGAAAAAGGAATGTGCCTTCTGCTGGGGGTGAGAGTTATGAATTTTCTTTAGGTAATTTGACCACCTGAAGAAATTTGAAAAGAAAAAAAAAATAAGCTGTGTGAAGTGCACTTTGTAGATCTTCTGTGTTCATCCAGTTTAGCTATGATTCCACAGGGTGGCTCAGGGCAAATAGCTCAGTTATCAGGGGCCTTCAGACCCTGTCTGAGCTACACTGTAGGTTTGCACATCTCTGCCTCTGTCTCCTAGAGCAGCCTGGAACCTACAAAGGAGAGCTGCTCTCCTGCATGGACCCCTCAGGCCTAGGACACATCATGTCATGACTAACTTTAGGGATAATATGGCATAACTATAATACCTTATTCCATTCCCTGTCTTTCCCTTGCATCCCATAATGATGAGCCTTATTTGCCTGAAATGCCAGTTTCAAATCCACTTTCAAGGACACCTATCACAAAGGTTGCAAGAGGCACTAGTATTTTATTGTTTTTCTCAAGATGCTTCAAAGCCAATGTTCACAAATTAGCAAAATACACGTGTGTAGCCAGGAGCAGGCAGATACATTCTTCAGTTTAGCTTGGAAAAATCGTTGTTTCTTTTCAAAAATGAATGTCGGGTGCTCAGCTATGGTTTTTGATGATGACTCCCAGGATCATGCATGCACACACCCATACCTTCTAGCATCAGGAGAGGGTATAAAAACATGGAATCTTATAGGAGATGGGTTCTTCCAGTTGATACAAAGTTTTGGGAAAAATGAAAAATTCTTTTTTAAGCAGACTAACAACAAAAATTCAAAATCTTGTATGAAAGATCTACATCTTTTTCTTTTTGTTTAGGAAAAAAACATTTCATTTCTATTGTCTATTTTTTTACTTCATACAAGAAGCACAAAAGCTACAAATTGTATTCTAAGAAGGTCAAAGTTGTTGAGCTTTATTGGGATGTTTTGGTTTTATTTTTCATTAATGGAACCTTGTTTGCTGAAGTCCTGTTTACCATGAAAATTTTATTTTGAAAAATGCTTATCAACAGCTCTAATAGCTCTTACTCCCTGCCTTAAGTAGTTGGACTTCTCTCCCAAATTGTATTATGAAAGTCTTGTATAATCTGGAGATTTTGCTCATTAG